AATGAATATAAAAGAGAATGAAAAATTGACAAAAAAATCAAAGTAAATAAAATAGAAAATAAGAAATAGTAATAGAAAATAGAACCGAATTTTGTGGGGCCGGGATGGTGGGGAGGGTGTCGGTGTTAATTGCTTTCTTCTTATGTTTCCGGAAAAGGGCAAAGAAATTAAGGTAGAACGGAACTGAGTTGAATTGATTTAAATCATTGACTTCCAAAATCTTTCGATGAAAATTCAATGACGTCTGCTTCCGACATTTTTCCCCCGGATGACGGAATAAATTTCCTCTTTGCAAAAGTGTGGAAAAAAAAAATTACAAACTCCGAAAAACATCAGAAAAATACAAACATATACACCTTCGAAAAAGAAAAAAAAATGAAGGCAAAAGATATACAACGTATTAAATACATGATTGAAAATAAATAAATAATAAACAAACCAACAGAATAAATAAAACCTGTCAACATTTCTGAGATGAGGTATTATGTACATTATTTACATTATTCGGACTATTGTCCTTATCTTTGTCGCCATATTTATTACAACGTTTCGTCCGTTGAAAAAGGCCTTTTTTCAGGAGATGTATAACATTATTCGCTATTGTCCTTAAACGTTGTCATATTTATTATAACGTGGCGACAAAGATTCAGTAAGGATAATAGTCTTATGTAATAATTTAAATGATTTCTTTTATATTAAAAATCTTTTTTTCATATTTATTAATAATACACTGTGAAGGGTATTTCGAGATTAAGTAAAAATTATTTTAGAATTGTCAAACTTTGATAACAACCCCTTTTTTTTCTAGGTAGGATTAACGGTCAAATATTTAAACAAAGATATGAAAAAATTTCTGAAACCGAAAAACTTCCATTTTAGATACAAATACACAGAAATATTTTAGGATTCCCCATTTTATTTAAAATTCCTCGTTGTTTTTGAATATACTGTCCCTGTTCTTCTCATTAATTTAAAATTCTGACCTCACAGCAAATTTTAATAGCTTTTTGATCTGTGAGGAAAATGTCCAACGTTTGCTGTATACGGGGATTAAATCTACATAGACAAAATATTACGCAGTTTGAACCCAAACTCTGATTCCTGCTCGCCTAATTAAATAAAAAAAATGTAGAATACATGTAACATATTTTTAAATTATATATAAAATAAACAAAATGAAAGCTATTTTTTTTGATGTTCATAAATTTTACTTAAATAATTCATTAAAAAAAAAAAAAACCTACCATCAATACATTTAATTGTTCTTAAAACCAATATTTTTCATATTAAAAATTAAAAGAGAAAATTTCAAATCTGGTTGTGTATTCTTCAATTCTTTAAATATACAAATTCTCCGTTTTTTAAGTATTTTTATTTAAAAATTTAAAAAAAAATGGACATTCATTTAACGGATGTTATTTTTCATTGTTACATCCATTGCTAACTCTTCTGATACTAAATAAAGATATAATGGTTCACTTTGTCTATCATGTGAATTATGAATCAGCTTTCTTTTAAAAACAAAAGTAATTTTAAAAAACTTACTCCAAAATTTCAATTGATCGAAATGGAACTAATGTTTTTAATTTAATTACAAAATTAAATTCAATCTTTTAAACCATTTTGAAACATGGTTCTCATATTTTTTTAGCGGAAAAAAATATTTTTTAAATTGTTAAAGTATAATATTTTTTTATAAATTTTATTGAGCACTATTTTGTATATTTAAAAATATCTATAAGAACACCGGATTATATATCTTATAATTCTTTCTTTATGTATATATATATATATAGATATTATATATATATGATAAAAATATATAAGTTTCCAAGAATCAGACAAATACTATTGGTCCTTCGTTTTTTTTTTTTATCACCTTCCGAATGTTTTTCAGTCAGTTTTAAGCATTCCACTGCCGTTTTATGTATTTTTTCCTGTAAATTTTCTATAAATACTTTTAAAATGGTAATTGTGCTTGATGAACGTCCCTCTATGGTACCTGAGACTTTAAGCGGATTAGTAAGAACAAAATTTAAAGAAGGTCTCATCAATTTATCATTTGAACTGGTTAGAAGGTTAGAATAACCGTAAGTTCTATGTTAACAGTCTCTTTTCTCGCACTTCTCGCTTGTGGAACTCTCTTCTGGCCCCACGCTTTCCAGCCAACTTTGATCATCAAAAATTTAAATGCAATGTCAGTCGTTATCTATTGTCTTCCTGGTCACTCTTCTGTTGTTCTCGCTACTTAATGTTTCTCTCTCTTTTTTTTTTCTTTTTTTTTTCACCCTTTGTGTCTTAGCGGCTTTACTGCCTTGCATGGGGTGATATATTTAAAAAGATATAATTATTAACTCTTCTTTCTTTCTTTTTTTTTTGTTTTCAGCATTGGTAAAAACGCAGTTCATAGAGTACGGCGAAGCAGTTAAAGTGAATGCACATGTGCTGCAGGCACTCGGATCGGCCGTAGCGTTTGCCTATGCACCTTTCGTCTCGTTTTCAACAAAAGCCTACGTATCTTTGGCAATGGTAGCCTGGGCAGTCATGGGATACATAGTATGGGAATCAATGACTGTCACTTTCCAGACAAGAACCATGTCCTCAAGTGTCTGATGTTACGTACCTTTGTCTGGGGAGTGCGATGGTGAAGGCGGTAAAACAATGGACTGCGATTCTGAGGAAGAAAAAACAAAAACAACTACAACAAAATATATCGCATCAGATAAAATTTACATCCGAACTGTGCGCATGCTTCGAGAAGAATCATTTCCTGTGGCGTCAGATTTTCCGGTTCCTACTGGACTTATTCACTTCTGTCAAAATATATATATATATATATATATATATATATATATATATATATATATATATATATATATATATATATATAAACAAAATGCAGTTCAAAAGAATGAAATTAAAATTAAAAAAAAAAAGGCCAATAAAGAACGGTACTGTGACGGAAAGAGACAATAAAATAAATTGTGAACTGTAAAAAAAGAAAATAATTAATTAAAAAAAAAAGAAAGTAAAATGCTCTTTTTATTAATGTTTTACTATTCGGATACGATTGAGAAAAAAAACGGTTTACATGGAGGGCATATTTATAAAGAAAAGAAAAGGAAAAAAAAATTTAAAAAACAAAAATTGTCATCGAATATTCAGCCAATCTTTTTCACGTGCATACATAAAAATAGAAAAACAAATAGACATATATAACATGTATACATATTTATTTATTTATATATATATATATATATATTATAAAATAACGGATCGGCTATACATACATACATGTTATATATATATATATATATATATATATATATATATATATATATATATATTTAAATGCACGATGGTGGAAAACATATTCGTGCATGCACATATACATAAATAATGAAATGTAAATAAATACATGAATGTATGTTGCGTTTATATATATATATATATATATATATATATATATATATATATATATATATATATATATATATATATGTATATGTATGTAAAAAGTAAGTATGTATAAAAATGCCCGCATTTATTCGCTTAAAATGAAATTGAATTAAATTCCCAGATTGAAATTGGCACCTAAAGTGCTGTCAAAATAACAAAAAAAAGTATTACGTCCCCTTTACTATTTTTATCTTCATTTACATTGGCTTTATAGTTTGTTTTTCTTTCTTTCATCCTTTCTTTCTTTCTTTCGTTCTTTCTTTTCTTCGATCCTTTCTGTCTCTTTTTTCTCCGTCATTTGCCTACTTTACTTCTCATTCAAGCTTTCGTCTCTGCTTTCTTTTTTCTTTTTCTTTTTTTGTTTGTTTGTTTCTTCCTTTTCCCTGTATTTATTTATTGACTTATTTCATCTCCTTTCTTTTTTATCCTTCCTATTTGATTCTTTCGTCTCTGATATTTCTCCTTTTCTTTCTTTTAGCTCCATTTTCTTTCTTTCCTTCTTTACGTTTGGCTTTTCTTTCTTTCTTTTATGTTTTTTCTTTATTTTTTCATTCTTTTTCTTTCTTTTTTTCTTTTCTTTTCTTTCTTTCTTTTTTTCCATTTTTTGTTTCTTTTTGTTTTCTGTTATTTTATTTCTACCTTTTCTTTTTTCTTTTTTTCTTTTCTTTCTTTCTTTCTTTTTTTTCCTTTTTTATTTCTTTCTTTTCTTTCTTTCATTTCTTTCTTTCTTTATATTTCTTTCTTTCTTTCTTTTTTTTTTTCTTTCTTTCTTTTTTTTGCTTTCAGTTTTTTCTTTTGTTTGCTGTCATTTTTCATTTCTTTTTCTTTACTGTTACGTTCTCTTTCAGTTCTTTCTCTTTTTTCTGTTATTTTACTTTTATGTTTTCTTTTTGTTTTCTTTTTTTTTTTTTTTTTTTTTGTTTTTTTTCTTTTTTTATTTCTCCTTTTTTATTTATTTCTTTTTTATTTTTTCTTCCTTCCTTCCTTCCTTCCTTCCTTCCTTTTTTTCCTTCCTTCCTTCCTTATTAATTTTTACTTTTTCCTACATGCTTCATTTCTTTAATCTTGCGATTTCTTTTAATGCTATACTAACAGACACCTTACATGATTTTTTGTCCATATAAACCTCTTCTTCAGTCATCAACGACTATTTTTTCTTTCTTCTTTTTTTTTTATCTCCGTTCTTTCTTTCCACTTTTATTTCCCTTCCACTTTTCTTCTTCTTCTTTCTTCCTTTTCCTTTCTATCTCTTTGGCGTCCTTCATTCCTTTCCACATTCCCCTCCCACCTTTATCGCATCCTTCCGTCCCATTTTCCCCAATATTCGCTGGCTGTTCCGTTTTGATGCCTTTTCTTTCCTTCATTTTCATTTTACTGCTTTTATTACACTCATCTCTCCGTCCTCGTCTTCCTTCCTCTCATTCATACTCTCTCTCTTTTTTTTTTGCAACATTCTCTCCCTTATCTCTGCTATCATTTACACTCTCTCTCTCTCTCTCTCTCTCTCTCTTTCTTTCTCTTTTTTTTCTATTTATTTTTAAATTACCTTTCTCTTTTGATTTTGGCTATTTTAATAACCTTTTTTTTATTTTTGTAACTTTTCTTTTCCTGGCCAACTCTCTCTTCCCCTCTCGCTTTTATATTGTTTATATATATATATATATATATATATATATATATATATATATACTAAATCCTTATATTTTAATGTAATGACAAGGCACGTACAATCATCTAAAGGCCAAAACAGCAAATTCTATCTGCTCTCATATCTACTAAATTTAATTTTTAGCATTTTATGTTACATGTTTAGCTATTTAACGTCTGCTTTAATATTAGCGTATTTCTGTCAATTCTTCCATTTTTTAGTTTTTTAAATTTTGTACTGCTTTATGCTTTTTCTGCTGGACATTATATATATATATACATATTTACACACATTATATATATATATATATATATATATATATATATATATATATATATATATATATATATATATATATATATATATAAATGAGAATAACGATATATTTTTTATATTCAAGAACAATTTCCCAATAGCCGTAACGTAAAGACTTTAAAAAGTTTTTCTTGTGACTGCGTTTCATCCTTTAGGACTTCATCGGACTAAATTTATTTAGTTCAATGAAACCCTTAAAGACAAAACGCGTCAAGGTCTCACTTTGTACAAAATTGTCAGACATTTTTAACCATATATATATATATATATATATATATATATATATATATATATATATATATCTATCGCTTATCAACTATCAAGTTTTGAGGTCAAAGAAATGGATTTAATAATTAGTAAGTTTCATGCTTTTGATTTAATTGACCCCTGCTAAGCTCGGATGCTGAAACTATTTAATCCATTAGTGCATGTGGCGTCCAATTCTTTTTAGAAAGGGGGTTACTTAAAATTTTAAATCAGCCAGCTTTAAAATTACCATTAGCAACTTAAGATAGATTAGGCAAAAAGAGATCAAATTTTAAGAAAACTTTATACAGTAATAGGTTAATTTAATTATTATTATTATTATTATTATTATTATTATTATTATTATTATTATTTCCTTCGAAATTTGGTGTATACACATTTCTTTCCGGGTCCCAACCAGAGACCTAAGGTCAGGAATGTCATCATGGCATTTTCCGCTGAGCATTTTTTGAGGAAAACATGTTTTGAGATGACACATGTTTTACATAGATTAAGCTCTTTGTAAGGTGTGGGTTGTACGTGGGTGCAATAGATTTTTTTGTATTTTTTTAAAGAAGGGGCTACCAAGAATCACTTCAATGAGTCTATCGAAACCTTTTCAATTAATCCGAAGACTCCAACTACAACTGAATTATTATTATTATTATTATTATTATTATTATTATTATTATTATTAATGAATATATGATAATACCCTTCAGGAAGAGAAACTCTATCTGGGCAGAAATGAGCTGGTAAAAAAAAGTCTTAAAAAAGGCATTCAAGCGTCAGTTTTTAAGTGATTCTTCGAAATCCAGAAGAATGGAACCAAAATCTTAGTATATATATATATATATATATATATATATATATATATATGTATGTATGTATGTATGTGTATGTATGTATGTGTGTGCGCGTGTGTGTGTGTCTTTTTAATTTACGTTCCATTTCAAAAGAAGGGGTAGAGTAAGGGAGATAACTCATTGCTTGAATTATTGTTGGAATCATTAAAAAAAAGCAAAAAAAGAAAGAAATGAAGAACTGACAATGAAAAATTAATATAATGTAGAATCCCTAGTTAGTTTCAAACATTTTATGTATGAATTAACATTTTCGTTCTTATATATATAACACATATATATATATTCATATATGTATATATATATGCATATCAATTTATATATATATACATATATTACTTGAATATGCGTATATATTCATAATACTGCTATTATTTAAAAATGCGCTCTCATCCATTGTATGCAAATAAAGCAAATATATTAATTTTATCAGTTTTATAGTCAAATCGAAATTTATATATATATATATAAAAATATAATATATATATATATATATATATATATATATATATATATATATATTACTTAAAATTAACTGAAATTTCAAACCGAAAATGGAGACCCTTCTTATCCTTTTCAGGTTTAATCTGCTCACCTATAAACGTAGTCAAATGTTGTTCAAGAATTTCAGTATACACCTGTACCATATAAATCCAATAAATATGATAGATACCAAAACCTATTCTCGAGTTGTTTTGATCTCAATGTGTTGTTTTTTCTTCTTCTTCCTCTTCTTCTTCTTCTTCCTCCTCTTCTTCTTCTTCTTCTTCTTCTTATTATTATTATTATTATTATTATTATTATTATTTCCTGGATTTCTGTTAATTATTTTTTTTACGTGTCCAACCAGAGATCTAAGGTTACAGATGGCTTCATGACATTTTCTATTGAGCATTTCTGTAAACAAAACTACGATGACACACATTTTACATATTTAAAGGTCTTCGTAATGTGTGAGCGATACGTGTGAGTACAATATTTTATATTTCTTTAAGGTATGGTCTGTCAGGAATCCCTTCGCTTAGTCTATTGGAAACTTTTCTAATCAATCCGAGTGTTCCAACTACAACTGGAATTATTGATGTCCTTATGAGCTTCATTTTTGAGATTTTCACTTCAAGATTCTTGTATTTTGATAGTTTTTTTTTTTGAAGATTTCAAAGATACATTACAATCTGCAGGTACTGCCTTGTCAGTAAGAAAATTCTTTCTGTTTTCGTGGTCTTTGATCATGATGTCTTTAATTGTTCTGCCTGTGCGTATTGTAAAGTCCAATAAAATTCTTACAGGTCCTATCTCTGTAACCGGGTCTGGGTGATGTTTATACTGGTTTCTTGCAATGTCCTTCCTCTAAAAGTGGCATATTTTCCGGGACATTTCGGGTGAACACATTTGTTCGGTATGTGTGCTTGGTAATTTCCAGTTAGCAAGCATTGGTCCTGCGAGAATAAAAGCTTCGGTTTCAGCTTTTAACCATGCACTACGTAACCACTGATTGATACGGGGTTTGTCTTTCAGCTTGTTTCGTACGGGCAGTTGATTGTCCATGAAGATGCCAACGTTCCTGCCTTTGGCACAATGCATTTGCTATTGCTTCCTTCTTTAGGTTCTTTGCCGCTGCAGTAGATGTATTATGGTTTATTTGCATTTCTTCAGCCACTTTAAATTTCCTTTTGAATTTGTGGCTTCATTTATTACTGAATAAAGTTTCTTATTTTTTTCATGTTCTTTGACACAAATTATCATCCAGTCTTCTGTATCTGTCCATATTTCTGAGATGAGGTAGTATGTACACTATTCACATTATTCGGACTATTGTCCTCATTTTTGTCGCCATATTTATTACAACGATGCGGCCATTGTACGATCCGGCCTTCTTCAGGTGGTTGGAACGTCGAACTGAACCCTTTATTTCGCTCACTTGGGTAGACTGTTCTAGTTCCACGTGCCATATCTAATGGATGTCAGTTATCAGTTATCTCCTGTTAATTCCCCTCTCCATGTTCACTGCTTTAACCGGGTATTGAACTCACACTCTTTGGGTCCTGTCACTGGATCTAACCAACGCCTTTATCCACTGTGTCATATGTCCTTGTGGACGCATGGCACAGTGGATAAAGTTGCAGTTCCCTAATCTTTGTGACGAAATCTAGATCTATTGAGTGTGTGTTATAGTGGAACATACCTATTCTATAGTTAATAGACTCTCCCACCTATAATAAGTAGGAGTAGTAAGAGTATCGAGTCAGTCAGTCGGTGAATCAGTCTATGCTGGACGACAGTTAGTCGGATACTAAAGTATCAGCGACCACAACTAGATTTCTCTGCGTCATTACCTATTATATCAAGTTCCTAACGTTTTGTACGTCGAACCTATTTTAGGACCGACTTAGTACAAATACAAGCCTCCACTGTGAAACCACTTCACAACAGTGTGTTTCTGTAATTCTCCCCTTCTTGAATGTTACTTTTGCACATTTATCTCATATGAAAACCATACCGATGTCATCACTGAAATATTTTACAATATTGAGGATACCCTTCACCACATTGTCGTCTTTGGTAAAGAGTTTGGTATTATCCATGTAGAATAGGTGATTAAACACTTTCTTTTTAACTTTGTGTCCATAGTTATCACAATTTAGTTCATACAAAAGTTCATTATGTGTGTGTGTGTGTGTGTGTGTGTGAGTGAATGGGTGAGTGTGTGTGTGTGTGTGTGTGAATGAATGAGTGAGTGTGTGTGTGAGAGTGAATGAATGAGTGAGTGTGTGTGTGCATGTAATGGATTAAATCCGACAAATACTTTAATATATTTTCTGTTTACACGTTATTTTCATGGATACAACTTATTTGTGGAAATTCTCTGTTTTAATTAAACAGTATTAATTACATTTAGCACCCTGCTAAACTGAACGTCCTCTGAATGGTTAACAGCACGTCAGGTCAAATGATGGTTTCCGTATGGGATACAGGTTCGATTCCTGCCGGAGAGCACATATTTTCTACGAAATTCTCGAGCATACATACAGGCCGGTCTAAGCAAGGCGATGACGTAAAGGAAAAAAAAAAAACACTCGAATAAATTAAACAAAGGTAAATCCAGAGCGAATCGCAAAAGGCCCTTGACTCGCTGACGGAAAACAACTTCCAGGCCGGATTCCAAAAGCGGCAGCAACGCTGGGACCAGGTGGATTGCTGTGCAAGGTGTGACTATTTCGAAGGAAATAACGTTAAAAGTTGATTAAATATATTAGCTTTTTTAAACACTAGAATTGTCTTGACAAAACGCTCACACGTGTTAAAATCCTCACAGTATTTAGTATTGCTGAACTTATCGCTAACATTTTTGTCGAGATTTTTCGTTGAATTCTCAAACCAATCGATAAAATTTGAATAAGCTGATTTGTTTGGGAAAATACTTTGATAAAAACCCTACTTCGCGGTTGAATAATTTCTTTAATTTAAT